ATGTGTTTGTAGATCTAAGTGTGTTGTGTTTATGCACGTGTGTATGTACGTGTGTGTGTGCATACTTCGCGATTTGGCCGTTTTGATTAAGTGAGCGTTGTCGATCTGATCGCGCAAAGCTAAACATCGGTGTTTGCGATCGTCTACCTTGTTTCATTACCTGCCCACTTAGAAAAGACGGTCAAGACTTTCAGGCATTGTTCACAGTCTGCGGTCCAACGTTTCTCTGGAACGCGGCGGTTCGGCGAAAAGCTTTGATACGTATCGACTGGCGGTTGGGCGAAAGGGTTTTGATACGAATCGACGGGCGTTTCGCCAAACCGCGACGTTTTTCGCCTTCGACGAAACGCTAGCTCGATCGCCGGGGCCAGCGAAATCGATACGCATCTCTTGCTTATAGCCCAACCGCCGAACCGCGGCGGTTCGACGAAGCTAGCGGTTGGCGATTCTCCGATCGATGACTATTTTTTTGCTTTTCTCCCAACTGCCTTTTTGTCAGGGTCGCAGACTGTAAACAATGCCTCGTTCTGCCGCTGCGCGGCGTGCGGCGATTGGTGCGGCATTTTCTTATTTTGAATTATCGTCGATTGGAGCACGGGATTTTCTATACACCGCGATATTTATGCCTATTTTTGATTATAATACATTGACTGTTGTCGCCATTCATGGCTCAGAAACAGCAAAACGTTGCGTTTGCGAAGCTGCCTACTGTTGCTGCTACATACGTCCATATTTCGGGTTACTGTATGTTGAGTAGTAGGGTACGGCAAAGCTCTGCTCTCTGGCGGTGCGGCAAACTCCTCCTCTCCGACTCTGAGGTCCGAGCTGAGGATGCGCGGACTCCGGTCGTCTGTGCTCATATGAGGCTGAGCCTCGCGAGGGAAACGGTCACTTCGCCGCATTCTCCCAACCCTCAACCAAAGCAGTGCTGTAATTGCAGTGTTACGCTAGTGTCTAACCTCAAACCTACTTTTCCTTCTTTTGAACCATTTTTAATAACTGAATTCTAACTCGTTGCCATAGTAGCGCCAATATCTTGGAAGAATGTTGTTGTTGTGTTAGTAGCATGTTGACGTAGTTGAATGTCGTAATATTAATATTATACCATCGTTGTTCTTAACGAATATCAGTTTTGCGTGAATTGATTTGGTACTAATTTGTGCCAGAGTGATTTCTAACCCCCACCAAAGATGCTTACAGTAAGTTCTCGACGCTTTCTTCAACTCTCAAGTGTGGCAATGGCAGCATCCAATATCTATCAGTTCAAGGTGAAAGACGCTGACGAGAAGGAAGTCTCTTTGGATAAATACAAGTGAGTTAACTTCTCCCTTGTCTTCCAAGCGCATGCTCAGCTTTAAGAGGGAAAAGGTTGAGAGATTCAGGACTCTGGATTAGTCCTATTGTTGTTTTGGGAAAGGCAGTGGCTAGGTTGTAGCGCCACTCTGTCGCCCTCCACAGCAAGGCTTAGGCTAATGGAGACAATCCTTTGTGCGACACTCTGGTCGTCTGCTCTCTAGGCGTAGGCTTTAGTTAGGGGAAAGGATACGGAGCCGCGGCGAAATGACACCACGCCTCCCCCTTTTTACGTTAGCGCCTCGGGAACGTTGCCAGATTTTTTTCTTGATTATTGCCGCAAGTGACAGTCAGATAGGGTCTTTAAAAGGCCGAAAGATCTTTAAATGCGCCAACACGTACTGGGATCCCTCACCAGGTCCATGTCGTTTGTGGGTAAAAACTAGAAACATCCTTCTCAGTTCGTTCAAAAGGTTCCATTTTTCACTTTTTAGGGGGAAAGTACTCATCGTTGTGAACGTTGCATCGCAATGTGGTCTGACCAATGCGAATTATACTCAATTCAAAGAACTTCTGGATAAATACAAGTCTCAGGGATTGGAAGTGGCTGCATTCCCGTGCAATCAGTTTGGTGGGCAGGTACGCTATCATGTTGTTGAGGTGCGCTCATCTAACTGATAAGAATTGTTCAGGAACCCGCTTGCGAACTTGATATCAAGAATTTTGTGGCTAACAAATTCAATTTCGAGCCAGATCTCTATGCCAAGGTTAATGTGAATGGTGATAATGCGGATCCTCTATTCAAGTTTTTGAAGAAGGAGCAGGTGGTACTTACAGTTTTATTCGCTTCTGAATGAGTAGGCCAGCAGATTTGACGAGATTTACATTGGAAGACGGAGAAGACAATCGTAACTCGTCGCGTTGTCGCGCGCGGCGCACCTTGCGGCGATACGCGAGAAATCCCGATTATTCATCAGTTTGTTGGCTAGAGCAACGAAATTTGTTTGGATTTAAGCGGTTATAAGACTATATGACGAGCGATATCGAATTTCCCCGTCTCCCAAACAGCCAGGCAGACTAACTCTTCTACTGGCGTCGCTTGCTGGCCACATCGGCATGGCAAATTAACACTGAGAGCTCCAGAGATGTTTCAGCCCCAGGTGGCCTCTACCCTTCAATAATTGCATTTTCTAATTCATAGCTTCATTCTCATTTGAGGACATCTCATTTGTGCGATTGTTGGGTGGGCGGACTTCGACACGATGCCACTGGCGCGCCCTTCTCTTTTCACCATCTTCACCACCAAAAGGCAGGGCGAGGAAGGGAGAGCCACTGAGTCTAATGGAGCTTGCCCACATAGCAATCCCTAACGTTTCCTTATACATAGTCTGGAAATCTTTGAAAAATAAAGATATTATTACCTGAGATGATATCAAAATATCTTGCTTTTCAGGGCGGTACAATGTTCGACGCTATCAAATGGAATTTCACAAAGTTCTTGGTGGACAGAGAAGGAAATATAGTGAAAAGGTACGTCGAATGCAGTGGTCTTCCCTTTGCTATGCTCAGAATTGTACGGAGGGTCCCATTTCCCTGGCAGGGCACATCTCACATTGTTTATCATTGCTGTTAACTCCCCCTCCCCTTCCCCATTCTTCTCCCTCCTACGGGGCGACCCCTCCTTCACAACCTACCTATCTTACCAAATTTCACAGAAACCAGGCTAGACACCTTCTCTCAGTGGCGAAGGGCATTTAGAGCTCAAGGGAAACACTCGACCACTGAAAAAAATAAAGCACTATTACCTTACTGCCTCTCGAGGCCAAATGCGACCCCTTTCAGTTTTACCCAGTAGTTATGTGCCCTGTTTCAGAGCCTTTATTCTCACATATTTTCCTAAATTATGTGAATTTCCAGATTCGGACCAACAACGGAGCCGAAGGACATGGTAAAAGACATTGAAAAACTCCTTGCAAAAGGTTCTACTGGTTCCACGAAGCTTTAAATTCGAAGAGCGGTGTCTTGCAATTCTACCTCATCGTTACTAATAAGGGGCATACTGTATTAGCAATGTGTATTTAGAAACATTTCTCCTCAGTACTAGTCTGATCATTGGTCTTTTACAGTGTTCAGTCCTTTTTCACTTTGTACATTTTAAAATTGCATAAGCACCTCTACGTTTTAACTAGCTTAGAGTGCCAACCAGTTAATCCCGTTCAAGACTATAATGGGCTGTTAATGGATGTGAAATAATCCTGGTGATTTGTTACGTTTTAGCAGAATAAATCGCTTTCGTACTGCGTTGTTGAGTTGCTCTTGAAGACAAGTATCTTGGTAGTTCATCAATTTATTGTGTAGAAATAGCACTATAGCGAACATGAATACAGTCCGGTCCGGTGCGGATGATGGGGCGTGTCGGGGGGGGGGGGATGGGCTTGGTGAGGCGCCAGCCTGTTTCTTTTCTTTTTTCTTTCAGCGAGGACAACACTGCACCATATTGTTCAGTCGTGTTCCACCTGCTGTTTTCGCTTGTCCGCCATCTAGTGAAGAACGAGGGCCTGACACGCCCCTTCGTCCGCATCGAAGAAAACTGTATGTTCGTGCTTGTTTTTTTTAGTAATTTTAGCTTTCGAAAAGAATCTTGTCGTGAAGAGTTGCCCCTTTGTAAAATAGAAACAGTATGTCACTACTCATTTGCCCGAGTTCGAAAACTTGATTCATCCCACAGTCGAGTGCGTAAAAGAAGGGGGTGGGAGGACCTTCGTAACTTGCAGATCCCTGGGATTACCGATGCCTAGGGCCAGATTTCGCAAAAAATCAACTCAGGGATAACACTGATGGCTTCCGCTCCGCATATTCTGATATTACGCTGCCACGAGCTTTATCCTCGATTACATTGATCTTATCCATGGGCGAGGTGGGCGGGTGAGCAGCTGTAGTATGGTACTAGTCGGGCAACGTGACTTAGATACCCGGGTGGGCGTGGCCACAGGGGCAAGGCTTCGAAATGGACCGGTGTTTCCCAAATTTGTGCTGCAATAGATATTAGACGGGAGCACCGTTTACAAGGTAAACGTTCCTATTGTCTTCAAGGTGTGCTTAATGTTGATTTCATGATCATACGTAAGACCTGATAACCACTTTTTCGCCTCTGCCTAATGTATACCTTTGCAAAAAGCATAAATTCCAATCTAAGTTAATTCTTCCTCTCGGAACTTCTTAGTTCAAGCAGTAGAAACACACATCGTTTAATAAGAAGGAAAATTAATCGTCTCCAAGCTCAGGAAGAAGCGCTGAAGCCTAATTATATCCGTCCACGTCAAGCCCTCACCCTATTTTGGCCACGCCCACCGGGTATCTTAGTACACGCTATCCCGATACTAGGTCTGCCACGTAGACGTGTGTGGCAGTGAAACTGGAGAGTCGCTCATGATAGTTGCATGCTCTTCCGTGTCACCGCCCACAAGCCAAGTACGCAACACGCCGCAGGACCTACGTCCTAGCCATTGCCAGACGCACTACTTGTCCACGCACTCTCACATTTAGCTGCAGCGCTAACATATTACGGCTCCTTGGCTGCGTACTTTTGCAGCAGCTGGCTGGGGTTCGCGCTCTTAACCGCTGGTCGACTTCCTTTGTCGTAGCAAATATGTTGGCACGTTGCGAGCATGTGTCTCTATCGTGGCCCGTGAACAATCTGTAAAGTCGTCAGCAGTGGTGATGTTGCCATGAAAGATTAGGACGAACGTTATCATCACCCCTGTGTCCACAGTGGGTATTATTATTTATTGCGCAAATGACAGTATAGCGCTAAGAAATGGGGGTTTTCATGTGATGACCATGCGGCGCGGCGTCAGTGGAGAGCCACCTTATGCCAAGCTATTATTCGTAAGTTCTAGGTTTCTGAAGATAGGGCTCATATACCACATATTTGCTACTTTGGCGATCCTACGGAGATGGGTTCAGTCACGGACTAAAACGTGCCGAGTTGAGAAATCTGTGAATTATCCTCTTTGCCTGAGTCAGCGGGTGAGCTATAGTGTATTTAACAGGGCAATTCGTTGTTGGGGATTCCCCACAATAGCGGAGTTCGTATTTTGTCTACAGGGAGGGGGGTCGTATTGAGCTGAGAAATTATTTTTTGCGTAGTTGATTATTCTCGCTTTTATGAACGTTTTCAAAAGGACGGGGGTTATTTGATCATTTTTGGGACGGGAGGGGCGTATTTACGTCTCCGGCTTGCTGGGTTTGGTAAAAAGTAGGCGAAGTTTTCGGAAAACTTTTGGGAATAGGCAGCAAGTTTGGAGAAAATCTGATTGTAGGGGGGTCGAGTCTCGCGGGCTTTTCCTGTTTCACAGTTTCTGTATTCACCCCCCCCCCCAGCTCGATTCGAATGAGGGAAGGACAGAGATGGGGTGGGGGGTCGTCTAAAAAAAGTGGGGGTGTCGTATAGAGTCCGAACTAAAAATCCCAACCAATAAATATTGCCCTGATTGTTTGGGCGTCCTCATTTAAATTTCCTTTATCAAACCGACCGCGCACGCGTTATACAGTTTAATCCCTTCCTCTAGACAAAGGCTTGGGATTGCGTGGAAATCATTGTGGCGCGCGGGACTGGAAACATCATTGCGAGCACCCCCAAATGCCCAGTTGTGGAATATTTGCTGCAAAGCATAGGGTCAAACTCTCTGCAGGCAAATTCGGGGAATAAGGTCACGCAATTTTCACAATCAGAATTGGCGGACTACGGTGCAGCATAGCACGAGTCCGCTATCTGTCAAAACTTATGAGATAACGACACGCTACAGACAAGGAGGCCTATTCTGTATAGTGAAATATTACAAGCATGTGGACAATAAGCAAAATTACCAGCAGAGCTTGAACCGACACCTCACACGTTCAGGGCGCGAGTGCGCTATCCGTTACACCACCGGGGTCGCGAATTGTCAGTGACGCTTCATGAAAGGTCATTAAGTTCTATTTGACGTCAATAACGCGTCATCTATTCCTTAAAGGGAGTGGTTACGATTGCTGAGGGCGGGCGGTTGTCGCCAAGGTGATGGTCTGTTGGAAGGGCTGAGTGGGGTGTGGCGAAACGCTCTCTCACAGCTCTTCACCAATCACGCTGGCAATAACCGCCCGCCTCCAGCAGTCGTCCCTACTGCCTTTACCAGTCGACGTAGTAGATCGCGTACAAGTCCTGCATCAGCGTTCAGTTGGGTTTTCGGTTTGTGCAAAACAATGGTGATCAGAAACCAGTTCCGAAAGCAATTAATTTTGACTCTTTAGGTGCCAGCACCGATGCGAATGGCCGGCAATTGTGCCGTCGTTGAATCAACTGAAGCAGTTCTTCGAACGCTGTGCTAGGATAGAGGAACTGCCTCATTCGTTTGATGATACTCTCCTGGACAGTCTCATTGATAATATTGATCTTAGTGGTTAGTTTTTCACACAGTGCACCAAAATGTCTGAATCACGACTGTCATCTGACATTACAATCGTTGTCACCGAATTCAGCCGCAGAGTGTCCGCGGGGCGTGGTTTTCAGCGCCATATCAGACCTTTTTCCACCACTCACAGATCCTCCTGAGGAAACAGGTTGGCCCCGGTCCAAAACCGTCGCCCCCTGACACGCCCCAACTGACTTTGAAACGACTGTAATTTTAGAGAGAAAAAGTGCTTTCCAGACCATCAACTGGTGGAATTCATCACATCCAAATTTTCCTCAACGGATTTCAATACGGCTAGTTCTGTTGTGATCTCTATTATTCTCCGCCTCTATGCGAAATACTGCCAGTCGCTGAACACTGACGACGGGAGAGTGGCTGAACTACTGGGCCGATCAGAAACACTATTGGAACAGAACCGTCCACCAAAAGTCCTGTCCGATCTCTTCACTCTGTACACTGCCTGTCACCGTTTTAGGCATCAGTGCGAGTGGGAAAGTGAGTTTGTTACTTGGTTCATCGTCTTAGTTTATAAATCACATTGATAAAAATATAAGCGACAGTCCGAGAAGTAAGACGGTGACTGGAGGTAATTCAATTATTTCCCATTTGAGGGTTGGGGGGGCTCATTTGGGCTTCAAATTTGAGTAGTTGTGTAAACAGTTCCTATGGCTGCATGACGACTTTAACCTTTTTCAGATGTTATTTTCTGGTGTGTTTCGCATTTACCGGATGAACAACTCAGTATATTTGTGCGACGAAAAATAGAAGATTTCTTGTGTCTGACTGAGGATGTTGAAGTCGAGTTGATTCTTCCCAGTGTGGTTGACTTGTTTTGTTGTACTGTAAGTTGATTGCTTCTCGTTTCATTATCCAAATTTTTTACTATCTTTATGAAAGGTCTGTACGGCTAGCATCGTTGATCTGAGGTAGCGGTCATAGTTCGCGACGTTGGTGATCGCGCGATAAAATCAACTGTGCGACCATTGAGGATTAAGTGCATATTGATCCAGATAGTGAGATGAGCGTGATCGCCGTGCCGCAAACTATAAACATCGCTTGAACAAACTGTAACCCTCACTTCGGAGACGACTGAACCAGCTTCATGATTGTCTGGCACCTTGCGGTCTCATTATGCCACTTATTCAGTGCAAGGTCGTCTGCCAACGTCATGTCGGGCCTAGAATGATTACATTACAGGTCTCATTCGAGTGTTACCCAACATGAACTAACAAAAGGACTCAATGGAAGTGCAAAACGTCCCTCCTCCCCCCACCCCATCATACGAACAGCGCCCAAAAAAGTCGCCGCGTCAAAAGTGGCAGCGTAGGATGGCAGAATGACTGTATCAGAACTTACCGTACTTTTGCTGCCAGCTGATACACGACGTCGCCGGCGACTCCTCTTGACTGTGTAGTGTTGACGATGCATCGGATCTGATCAGCATCCAAACGATCAGCGAAGTGAACTAGTATTCGAGCAGTACCGTTAAGCACATAATCAGAATCCTGGAAGCGTTCAGAATTCTGGATAATTTCTGAGAAATATTCACCAATGAAACTCAGTGACCTTGCGCATGCGCATTACTTCTAATTTACGACTGTCCCGACCTTCACCAGACTATGCCTTGGCGACTCTGGTCATCTGCGCTCTAACTCTGGGGAAAGATGCGGGAAGGGACCTAGAGCACCCATCTTACCCCAACTACATCAACGCCTGAATGCTAACGATTCACGATTGGGTCACGATTCCGAATGAGTAGTGTTCTTTTTATGGAGTCTCAGTGCGCCATGATGTGCTCAAACCAAGGCGATGTTTATAGTTTGCGGCACGGCGATCACGCTCATCTCACTATCTGGATCAATATGCACTTAATCCTCAATGGTCGCACAGTTGATTTTATCGCGCGATCACCAACGTCGCGAACTATGACCGCTACCTCAGATCAACGATGCTAGCCGTACAGACCTTTCATAAAGATAGTAAAAAATTTGGATAATGAAACGAGAAGCAATCAACTTACAGTACAACAAAACAAGTCAACCACACTGGGAAGAATCAACTCGACTTCAACATCCTCAGTCAGACACAAGAAATCTTCTATTTTTCGTCGCACAAATATACTGAGTTGTTCATCCGGTAAATGCGAAACACACCAGAAAATAACATCTGAAAAAGGTTGAAGGCAGAACCCGCGATTATTCGCCATCTCAGATGGTGGATTAGGGGGTTCCATATAGACGACAAGGGGTTGAGTAACTCGACTGTGAACAAAAAAAGCACAAAAAACATGCCACCTGCCCTAGATAGAACCCCATTTCGATCCCAGTTTGTACGTGCCCAATCAACTCTATCTCCAAAACTACGCCCTCATATGCACGGCTGATTCACCGATAAGATTTCTACTATCGTACAAGTGACGATTATCATGCTTTTTCGTTCTGCAATCTCATTTTTCACTGGAAGCCGGTCATTAGAGGCGGAGTCTGGAGGCGGAGTCACTGGAAAAAAGGAGGAGAGCCAATTACAACCTATATTGCGCTACAGCGCCCCTCGCATAGAATTTTTTGCCGCGAAACCGGTACAAGGTTGTTCGTCGCGGACCGCTCTAACCTCCTGACGCCATATTTCAACTTCGATGCCTGATCGCGGACCGTGCCTTTAAAGTCGTCATGCAGCCATAGGAACTGTTTACACAACTACTCAAATTTGAAGCCCAAATGAGCCCCCCAACCCTCAAATGGGAAATAATTGAATTACCTCCAGTCACCGTCTTACTTCAGACTGTCGCTTATATTTTTATCAATGTGATTTATAAACTAAAGACCGAATGAACGGCAAGTAACAACACTCACTTTCGCCAACTCCACTGATGCCCTAAAACGGTGACAGGCAGTGTACAAAGAGTGAAGAGATCGACAGGGAAACTTCTGTGACGGTTCTGTTCCAATAGTGTTCTCTGATCGGCCCAGTTGTTCAGCCACTCTCCCGTCGTCAGTGTTCAGCGACTGGCAGTATTTCGCATAGAGGCGGAGAATAATAGAGATCACAACAGAAGTAGCCGTATTGAAATCCGTTGAGGAAAATTTGGATGTGATGAATTCCACCAGTTGATGGTCTGGAAAGCACTTTTTCTCTCTAAAATTACAGTCGTTTCAAAGTCAGTTGGGGCGTGTCAGGGGGCGACGGTTTTGGGTGCTGATACATGGCGGCTGAAAACCGGGGCACTCTGGCGCTTGAATTCGTGACAAGCTTCCCTAACGATTGTAATGGTCAGCATGAAGTCCGTGATTCAGACATTTTGGGTGCACTGTGTGAAAAACTAACCACTAAGATCAATATTATCAATGAGACTGTCCAGGAGAGTATCATCAAACGAATGAGGCAGTTCCTCTATCCTAGCACAGCGTTCGAAGAACTGCTTCAGTTGATCAACGACGGCACAATTGCCGGCCATTCGCATCGGTGCTGGCACCTAAAGAGTCAAAATTAATTGCTTTCGGAACTGGTTTCTGATCACCATTGTTTT